GATCGAAAAGTGATATGTACTCTACATATATAATAATTAATTAATTAAAGAAAAAATTATATAAGCAAGTAATAGCGTGACGGTTAGAGCTAACACCATGGTTAGAAAAACAAGAAGTGATAAAAAAGATACAATCTGTAAACGTTGTGGTCATGAATGCTCAACACCTCAAAAACTTCGTGAGCATCTTAAGCGAAAAAATCCATGCAAACCATTACAAAAGCAGAAGGAAGTAGCTTCTATTCAAGCATCAATTCAGGTGCCTATTCAAAAAGCTACCCAACAGGCTATCCAAACTTCTGAAATCAAAGCACAGGGGAAACCACATGTGGTAATCCCAATTCTAGTTCCTGAGCTAGAACCTGAAAAGGAAGCTCCAGTACTTGGTAACGACTACATCACAGAAGAGGAGGCAAAGAACTGGGTCAGTCCAAATGCATGTAAACCCAGAGAGTGAATTAAGACATGGGGTGTAAGATTACAAAAACGTTGGAAAGAACTTGATCTAGGTAATGAACTACTTGAAGTAAACGATCTAGATGGTTGTAAGACTCTTTTCCATGATCTAGAACAATATGATCCTAATGCAGTTCGCCCACCAACTTTAAAAGAGTTAGAGGAATATGAAAAAAGGGAAATAAAAAATAATAAATCTAGCTACTCTGAAGCATCCCATCAGAGCAAGAATTTGATTAATAAAGAATTTGAGCGTTTAGGAGAAATTAAGGAGCATGAAAAGTCAGAGAAGGATTTAGAATTTAGGGAACAAGAAGAATTAGGAACAGCGGTTAAAAGAAGAGCCATAGCCGTACATCGTGCAAAAGTTCCCAAATCCCATCCAGATAATAGAAGTGATATACGAAAAATGTTAGAAAGCCGAAGAAAACAGTTTAGAGAAATACTTGAAAAGGAATTCGATAAGCATGGACAATTTAAGTTCGCTCTATGTTCACTTACCAAATTTCTTATAGATGATAAACCCGGGAATGAAAAACAGGAAAAAAAGAATTCACGAACTGATTGGCTTAGAAATAAGCAAATTATAGTCTACAATAGAGCTGAAATAGATGACTACTTAAGCGATGCCTTCGAACAAATTCTATACCAAGTGGAGGAGAGAGGTGGAAGATCTAATGCTTGAGAATATATTTGGGTGGTAAGACTGAATCTGGTGGAACAATTTGTAGTTCTTCTCTCACAAATGAGTGTCTAGGACCATTGTAAAGCTTATAGAGAACAGGTTGATTCTCTTTTATCAAATAAGAATCAATTGTAAAAACTTCAGGAGACCAATTGCAATCGGTTACTCTTTTTCTCCAACCTTCTAATTCACCAGGTTCTAAAAGATGACAAACTTCAGTATAGCTAGGTAAAAGTGGTTCATCATATCCAGTAGGTTTTCGATGCTTTACTGAAGATCTGGCTATTATTTTTCTCCTTTTAATGCTCTTTTTACAGCTTCATTAAGGGGCATTCCGATTAAGCAAGTAGGAGTATTATTAAAAATATCATCATTTATATGAAGTCCCTTAATCCATGCTCTGCACCTTTCAGATAAAGATAAATGAAAATCTACAGCATCTTGCCGAAAATAAGCATGCTTTTCAAATTCTTGATGATCACGTTCAGCTATAGCTGTACCACGTTTAGAGTTGGCATACTGAATTTTTACACCATAACTAAGCAATAAATCCTTACATTCGCCCATATATTCTGTACCCTTATCTGTAATAAAAGTTTTAGGATAAGTAAGAGGGCAGTTTGGATCATTATAAATTTTTTGAATCGCCTTAGCCATTTGCATAGATGATTTATTAGTCAAAGCAAAACTATATCAAAATCTAGTCGCAACATCTTTTATTACACCTCTGTGCTTGTAAATTCGGTTGCCAATTTTATCATGAGGCATAGACGTAGTATCGGATTGATGAACTTCGTTTAAATTTTGTATTCCATTAAAAGAAGAGTATTGAATAAATTTAGAGCGAGGCTTATGAATCTGAAAAATGGCTTGCTTATTTAACCAATTACATATCTTAGCTAATGAAAAATTATGTCCAGCCCTTCTACATGCATCACGCATTTTTTTAGCAGTCCGATAATAACCTTCATGCCTATAATAAATTTTTTGCAAAGTAATCTCCTTATCCAAATCACAGACCCTTTGTGGGTCAATATAAATTATGGGTTTCTCCATTCCTTTGTTTTATTATAGTAATAAAAAACATGGAGGAGTTACAACAAACTAACCAGGAACTCTATGAGGTGGTATCACAATTAGCTGAATCAAATAGAAATTTTGAACAACGGCTATA